AAATACTGGTATATTAGTGCTGGACGGTGCGATGAGTTGGGGTGGGTGTATCGTAACTTGGATGTACTGTGCTGTTCATACATATTGTACTTGCGCGAGTGATATTTGGCACTTGCAGTCGTGCTTACCAATGAATACGAGTACGGTACTGTACCTCTGTGATATTATATGATGCTACGGTGTGGATGTGGATGTGATCGGAACATCATACCCGGGGGGGGAGAAATTTTGTAAATGAAGGGGAGGGGCGGTAATGATGGTATCAGATGGTCTACCCGTAGATTTACAGGTGGTGTAACTAACTAACTAACTAACAGGGTATACCGGTAACTATGATATGTACGATATCTCCATCTTGGACCCCCCGCTCCCTTCCCCGCGGGGTCGGCCCAGTTCCGTCCAGTTGCGATGGTCTACTGCACCTTTTATGCACTGTACAGTACAGTACTCGAGTACCGTGCTAGTACTAGTACTTGTGCTGTCCATCGTCGTCTATCATCACAATCTAGAAAAGGGAACCAGATATTAGTAATCGCGCGTATGCATGAACGCATGCATGTGGAGCTTATTCGCTTCAATCCCTAACGTTCCATTCGCTTATTACCGTTCCCTTGCCCTGGCCTATAGGCACAGCAACGGTATCATACGGCAGCCTCAAAGGGTGATGGCTGGCACTGGAGTCGGGTATCGATGGTAACTTATAGCGAACCGGTCAACAAGTGACGAGGCTAAAGAACGTACGAGTACAAGTAACTTACAGTACTGTGTATCGTAGGAGAAAAAGGTCCCTCCTCCACCTCCACCACCTCCACCTCCGCCGGTTGGCCTGGAATGATAAAAGCACAAAGAGAGCAGGTTGGCAGGAAGGGTCATGCGGTTATACAACATTTTTATCATCTTTCTCCCCTACCGTACCGTACTTGTGCCCCCAGCCAGCCGGCCCCAAGTAAATTGCCCATGCATAAGGTGGAGCATTCGCACCGGCTCCACAGCTTTGTGACAGGTGGGTGGGAAACGGTACGATACCGGTATCCCACGAGTACCGTACGACTACAGCACTCGTACAGTAAGAACCCTCCACAGGAACACGATTTACGGAGAAGAGCTATTGTGATGCGTGAAGTATTCCTTTTTCTCCCCCCCCCCCCCGAGCAGGGTAAGACAGACGTCCCCACCCTCATCCAACGCGACGATTGACAACTAACGATTTCTGCAGTGGCCAGCCATGTTTTCGAAGAAGCAAAGGAGAGGAAGAAAAGAAAGGAAAGGGAAAAAAGCATCAGCGTATATAATAACTACCGGCACGGTACTCGTAGTTACTCGTATGGTAGGGAAATCCCGGTCCGATGGCTTACGCAGCTCAGCCCAGCTATCCCTTAGCCCGTCCGTGCTCCCGAGTGTTCTGTGGAGAAGGAAGGTCTCAGTTTGAACCCCTAACAACAATTTATTTCCGGCTGAGGAAGGATACTTTCCAGACCCGTAATTTTCTTTGGCCAGATTGTGCCCGACGGACCAAAGGATAACAATAATACCATATCCTGCCACACAAACACGGTATCGATACCAATGCAGTAGCAACCTTCAGCCCGGGCTCACAGGACTCTCCATCGGCGAGAAACTTGGAGCCAATGGAGTACCGGTAGCACCGGTAGGGCGTGCCGGCGAACCGTAAGACCTCGCAGAGACGGATTGGGCGGGCGGGTGGTTCAGCAGTTACCGGAACAGTACAGTACTGTACGGTACAGTGCCACAGCGGGATTGTAACTTGAATGATATTCATCATTAAATTTAATTATTATTACTGCTGCACCCCGCGCTGCAATGGTACAGTGCTCGAGTACGCATCGGGCAAAGCATTGAGTCCCATATTTGTGCCTTACTTCCGTACGTACCTGTATAGTGCATGAGGGAGCCTTGCGGATGGGAAAGGAAGGAAGGAAGGAAGAGAGGAAAAGAATAAGGAGGGGCAGAAAAGGAAAAGAATGGCTCTTCGGGATCAGGGCCAACCAACTGGCTGGATTGTTCTCCACAACCTACCCCGTTGTCTTATGTTTTATTTTTTTTCACTTTTCACTTTTTACTTTTTTCAGAAACTATTCTTAGATGCGAGTAATACTCGGGGTTTGAAATCTCCTCAGAGTTGGTACAGGTACTTGTATGATAGGTTGGGGTGAGCGGTGAATAGGAGGAAGGAAGGGGGGAAAGGGGGATGTGGGGCTTTATTTCGCTCGTTTACAAGTATATCTGTCTGGTTGTTTGGTGCGGTTAAGGTGGGTGGGGGCCTAGATGATATCGCTTGGCTGTGTTTTATACTTCCGTAAACTGAGTGCTGGGGCTGAGGGAAAGGAGGACCTGGGCGAACCGGTGGAGCCTGTTGAGGGAGCTCTCCCAGGGGACGTTCCAGAGTGGCCGACCGCTTGTGGATACGACGTAGGGTACTCTTAGGCGATGGTGGTACAAAGCTGCCCTTGCACCCCTACCGTGCTCTGCTCTTGGCTAACGAATCTGAACATGAGGTTATGATACGGTACTGCACCTACTCGTACTTGTACTAGTACTTGTACTGGTGCTCGAGTACCGTACCCGTAGGAGGCAAGAAGTACTCGTACGGTAACCGAGAGCAAGGATTCGCAAAATGTGGACTATGGCAAAGAATCAGTCCCTTCCGAGCGCCCTCATTCTGTCTGAGTACCGTATCGTGCAAACTCACGACCCCGTTTTCGGCGGACACATGTAAAGTACCGGTATGGTACTACTTGCCTACTGAGAATGCCCACATCACGGCGAGGAAAACTTTACTAAACTCGTTCGTCCGGGTCTCGAAACATTTCCTCATCAGATGCCCGGAAGCGGTACTCGAGTACCGGTACAGGTACAAGCTCCGGTACCGGTACTTGTACGAGTACTATACCGCGCGATACCGGGGATTGGTTGGTTGTTTAATTCTTCCTCTTCCGGGCCAATCAGGGGCAACGCATGAAATCTCCCGCTAATGCGGAAGATTTATCCCTTCCTTGGCCTACCTGCGTATGGATCAGGCAATGAACACGGACTATCAGTCAGTTCTACCTACTTGTAGCGGTGGGGGTCATCAGAGAATGAAAAAATAAACAAAAAAAGTACCGTGTTTCTTGCTTGCCATGGTGAGTGCGAACACGAACGAGGTGCTGTGATGGCGTTGTCAAGATGCTTTGTGGGCTCTTTTGTTCGGAGGGAAAGTGGGAGTTGAAGCAAATGCACCTATGGGATGGCATCCCCCCGGTTTGACATCGCCATGTTGCCCCAAGACGGGAGAAAGCAGGAATGGTCCTGTATGAAACAGCCTACAGTACTGGTACATCGCTGCACGAGCACAGTACTCGAGCACCGTACCGGTAGAGTTCCTCAATTCGTCTTGTTTTTCATTTCCTTGATTCAGCTGAACCCCCGTTGTTCTCCCTACGAGCGGCTCCGATTTCTCGATGGTGAGCCTCTCCGACCCCACAAACGGCGACAACTCAGACACGCATGAGATCAGCTCTTCAGCATTGTCCCTACTCGTCGGAGCATCTCTAACAGCGTAGGCAGGAAGGAGGGCCACACAGACGTGGGCGCGATGCGGTGCGGTGCCCGGATTGTACCGTGCCCCGCGGGTAGGCAAGTCCTCCAAGACTTACCATGATAGCCGTGCTCGCATAGTACCGGTGCCGTATCGTACACACTTCTCACGGTGGTTGCGCCTCTGGGTGATGGGGTACTCGAGTACAGTACTGTACGGTATTCCTGTGTGAGGGGTCACTGGAGCTTGCTCGTAACGAGCACCGGGGCTCACAGTAAGGTTACGGTAGCGGAAAAGAGTTTAGCAGGTGCTGGCATGATAGGGGGGAGTGGGAGCAGCGTGTCCCAACCATCATATCGCGTCACCGACACGCTGATTGGCACTCGTGCCTTGCGGACCTGATTAGTATAAAAAAATACGGCTTTTTGGTCCACCATGAGCGCAATAAGCGGTATGCTACTTGCGCCGTACCGGTACTAGCACTGCACTCGTACTGGTACCGTACGGTACGAGTACTCGTACATACCGGTACCCGATTTTTCCAAGCCCTAGCTTTGTGCAACACCTCATGACCACCGACGCTGTTTGGCTTGAAGAGGCGACCTTGGGTGATCATTGCAATTTCCCTTCAACAAGGCTGGCTGTCTAACAATACAAGGATGCCCTTTTCGGCGCGGAAGTTTGTTGATTGCCCCCCTGGCCTGGGCTCGGCCTATCGATGTGGCGTGGGAGGTATCGTCGCAGCGCGCGACGAATGTGCGACGACTGTTGGCTCAGGATGAATATTGGTACGCTAAAGTCATCTCCCTTGCGAGAACGAGCAATGAGGACGGGGGGCGCAGGAGCGAGCACGAGAGGGGCCTGATCGTGGTGCCCGGAGGGGGGAGGTGATCGTGGATTGATTGGGGCTACCGCACTTTGTTCTTCCCAGCTCAAACGGAATTTTTGAGTGAGGCCATTACTTGGCGATGCCGCGGTCTCCAAGGTGCAGTACTCGTTCAGTGCTCGTACGGTACCGCACTGCTGGTAACCCGCGGTACGGCGCTCCGCTCACTACGATACCGGTACAGAGGGACACATTGCTTTACTGCACTGCACGGTAGAGTCTCCAGAGGGAATTTATTCAGCATGTATTGTACCATACGAGTACAATACACTACGGTACACAAATCAGGGTATTTCTCCATTCAGAAGAAAGAGTTCCATGTTTGTCCCGGCTGGTTCTCCTCCCTTTGCAGGAAAAATAACCATCTCACTCACTCGCTCGTTATTTATTCATTTACTCACCTGTTCGCTAATCCGTATGGGTCGCTGACTGCCTCCCGCGTTCTTTCGATCCCCGCCCCTCCTTTGATACCGCATGGTACGTACTTGGCCCACCTACCGTACCCAGCCAACACTTCCCTTTCCCCTCCACCCTTTCCCCTCCACCCTTCCCCCTTCCCTCCTCTCCCCACCCTTTCTTTGCATTGAGCCGTAAACTGCGGACGTAGCACCGCAAACCGCCATTGGTGGTCCTCCCACCCGCCGGCTCCCTCTTCACCTCGAATCACGCTGCCTCACCCATTCTGTCACTCGTTGATTCGTCCTTGTCGTTCTTTACTTTTTTAGTTCTTTATCCCGTCTAGCCCTCAGCGGCTCTCGCTGCCTTTCACCTTCTCCATCTCCGGACGCTAACTTTCTTTCCCTCACTGTATGTAGCCCATGTTTCAATCCCCCTTGCTGCCCTTAATATCGACTGCCTTCCCATCTCCAGTCACCCCCCCTGATATCGTGGAAGAGAAGGGTCTCGTCGTGCCGTCCAAGGGTGATTAGTATCCGGCCATGTATCTTGACCGCCCCTTGGTTCTCCGCGCACTGCTTGTGCTTTCACTTTTTGGTGGAATTGCTCTATCCAGAGGGGAGAACATACATCGCCGTCAAGATGGAAATGTTGCGGCGACGGCTTCAAACAATAAACCTTCACCCTCAACGGATTCCGAGGTTCCAAATCAGACATCTATCTCTCGTGCAGCCACAAACACGGGTTCAAATGCTCCATCGCTTACAGGAAATGCTCAGAGCTCGGGCTCTAGCTCGGCCTCTGGGGGAAGAAATGCTGATGAGACGATCAAGAGTTCCCCCGCACCTACTATGGCCGAGAGTGGGGACAACTTGAGCTCAAACAGTACGGGTGAGTTCTTTTGTTTTCTTTTCCCTCCAATCTGTTATCATCGATATGGGCTTTGTCTGGAACCATGATAACTAACTAACCTCTTGATAGCAAACTCGGCAGATGAGATTTACCGGGGAGGTTTGCCGATAAACCCTATGGTGACGCCAGGGATTGCAGTTGCGGGTGTATTGCTCTTACTTGCTGGTGTACCATATTGTTTAATTGGAATTAAAATCAAATTGTAGGAAATATTTGTTTGTCTGAGGGGGTACGATATCCACTGACAGTGTTTGGGACAGTCTACATATTTTCCTGTCTACAGCTTTGCTAGCCAGTTTGGGTGTCACAGTCCTAGTTGTCTACGTCATGAATCCACCGGTTAAATTCGCGATCCAGGGGGCCTATGTAACCGCTGCAACGATCACGGGCCTTCTGACAGGTTGCCTGGCTGTTGTATTTCCTGAAGTCACAGAAGCGCTGGGTTGTTTGCTGGGCGGCTTTTGTGTTTCCATGTGGTGTTAGTGCCCTGCTTCCCGTAGGGTGGCTGGCCATGCTTTGCTAACCCAATCGACAGTTCTTGTATTGAAGCCCGGGGGGCTTGTACCATCAGTTTACGGCAAGCTTATACTGATTGCTGTCTTTTGTTTTGCACTTTTTGCTTTGGCATTTCACCGGCTTACCAGGCCATACTCCTTAATGTTTTCCCTTTCCTTTTCTGGGGCAACGGCAATAGTTCTAGGAATCGATTGCTTCTCCAGGGCTGGCCTCAAGGAATTCTGGCTTTATATTTGGGGTAATGATCGAGCCTTCTTTTCTTCTTTTTTTACCCCTTTAGGGTTAGCCTGACCGTGGGTAGATGCTGACTGATGACAGCCCTTAATGATAATATTTTCCCCTTGGAGACCAACAACTATCCACATACCCGTGGTATTAGGGTTGAAATTGCTGTCATCGTTCTCATCACAGGTTTCGGTATTATGTCGCAGGTCAAGCTTTGGAACATTCTCAAGGAGCGACGGGATGCTAAAGACGCTGAGAAGCGAAGACAAGACGCGGATATCGAGGCTATGGATGCGGATGCTGGGTTAAGGGTTGAGGGAGAGCACAAATTGGAGCGGGAACAATGGGAGGCAACCTTTGGGCACAAAAAGGCAGATGGGGTCATGTCTGACGAGAGGCCGGCTACTGGAAGGATAAGCCGAGCGGACTCCGGACTTGGCGATGATGTGGGTTACGGGAAAAATAGCGTTGACAGGACTGAGGAATTTGTTGAGACCAAGGAAATGAAAAGAGAGCGTGAGGAGCATATTCAGATGGCCCAAATGGGAGGAAGCAGGTCTCAGTCGATGGACGCATCTGGAGGCGGCACTATGAAAAGTCAAGGGTCTCCAAATCAGAACCAAGCATCCGAGGATGTCGACAAAATTGAGCCCGTTGAAAGCTTGGATGCTCCGAAACATGAGGAGGTCCTCACCCCTGGAACTGTTTCAAGACGCCAGTCATCGCAGTCCATCGCTCCGAGTTATTCGAATCAGCCCACCCCCCAACGGCTCTCTTCTCAATCTGCGGTGTCGCAGGAGGCCGCTGTCCAAAGGCCTGATGTCCCACCGCCACCTGTGGTGATCCCCCTTCCGGTCCCGATCCCGGTTGAGGCAGAAAACGACGATGACGACGAAGCATCTTCTCTCGCTACATTTTCTGGATCAGATCGGATTATCAGCCAAGAGATAGATGAGGATGCTCTCAGGTCAGTGGTCAAGATGGCTGACGAGGAAGACAAGGCTTCCAGTGTAGCAGCAACCCTCGACGACAACGAGGATGAGATGGTCGACCCCGCGGAAAATGATTTCTCGCAGATCAAGGAGGCTTCGCATGAGGATACCCCCCCACATACACCACCGGTCGAGATTGAAGTGGAGGGAATGCTTGACGAGTCCCGCAATGGAGATCTGAATTCAGGTCTGGTCGAAGAAGAGACGCCGGCGGTGGCTGAGAATAAATCCGTAGGAGCGGAAGCGCCGGAGTCCGGGGGGAGTGATACACCTGTAGAGGGTGCTGAGAAAGACCCCGTCACCGAAGATCACTCGAAGGGAACTGATTCTCCTAATATGACCGCTCTTATTGCGCCAACTTCCATCTCCACATCTCCAAGCGCCTCGCCACCGTTAGCAGTTTCCACAACCCCAGTGGATCCCGCCCAGATACAGAGAGATTTGACACCAGCATCAACCCCCAAGCCCAAGTCAAGTTCACCCTCACCACCCGGCCCGGAAACACAGCTCCAGGCAAAGTGCTCAAAAGTCGTGAAGAATTATCGAACGAACGAATGGGCCAAACATCTCGCGGATGCTGAGCTGCCTGAACTGGACAAATTGGAAGAAGCTCCCGAGGTCACCGATGCTCCCAAAGAGACCCCTGCGCCAGTCCATATTGAGGAACTCCAGGAGACCGCAGCTATTAAGCCGCCTGCACCTCCAAGACCAGTCTCTAAATTATCTAACCGCGAGAACCCAGGCCCTGCGCCAGCTCCAGCTAACCGCCCATCTGTACAGCTAGGAAAATCACGCACCTCTGTTCGTATGAGCTCTGCGCCGAATCCTTTACCAGAGAGTGTTTCGCCTATTGAGCGCTCCATTTCGCCCAGTGGCAGAACAACGCCGATGCCGTTTACACAAAATACTCTGATTGGAAAACGCGAGAGCATGGTTCGAAGCAGACAGAGCTTCAATGCTCTAGCCGAGTACGGGCCAAAATCTTCCTCCCCGACCCCACAGTCGTCCCCGGAGCCCAAGCATCAGCAGCGTACGGCGACCCCTGTTCCGGGTGCACCTTTCGTCCCTCAGCGCCAATCTACGGGCCCATTTTCTCAACTTCCCACAAGTGATCATAAGTCTGCATATCAGTATCGACTTAGCATGCTTGATGATGATATGCCTTTGGCTGATCGCCGCAACGAGCTCCTTCAACATGTCGTGCCTCAGGCCGGTGGTGCACCGGTGTCTCAACAACAACAGCAACGCCGCAGTCTTCCGTCTCAGGTAGATAGGCGTGAGGCTATGCTCAAGAATTGGCGTGAGACGGTAAAGGCCGAGCTCCAGACATCTAGCCATACAACTCACGCTATCCAAGAGAGGAGGGGTGAAATGTTGAACGAAAGGATGCAATCGATTCAGAATGAACGTCATAAGAGTTTGAAGGAAAACTTTAGGGATGAGATGTTTGACGAGAGGATGCGGCAGAAGGATATGCTCGACCTACACAAGGAGGCTATGAGGAGGATGCAAGCGAATGCGAACAAGCACATTTAGGAAGACGTCCTACTCGGGGTGTGCGAGAAAATAGCCTCTGCTTTCTTTTCCATCTGGCGTTTTGGCAGATTTATGGTTTCAAGTACATACTTTAACGTGAGCGTTGCATGATAGCTGATACCTATCATACCCGGATGGGATTCTTTTCTCTGTCACCCCCACTCCCAAATTGGTAGCGTAGGTGATGGTTAGCTATTTTGGAGCCCGATCGGTTTCTTTTTCTTCATTTTTTTCACAAGGACACCTCTATCTTGCTAGAAGAGTTTTTTTGAAGTTCTGTCCGTTGGCTCTTTTTTTCCCCTCCTGTTGAAAATCTCGCCCAGCTTATAAGGGGGGGTTTCTGTTAATTCCATTCATACCCTTTTCCCACCTGTCGTACCTACCCACACCCCTTCCCTTTATACTCACCCGAGTGCTGCGATATCCTCATTTTGAGGAGAGGTATGTGAGAAGAGGGGGGGAGAAAAGGATGATACTGTTTTTTGCTAGTCTGTAATTTTGCATGTTTAGTTACTAGCGATTGTCGGATATGGCGCTGTTGCTACCGGTAGATAGATTAATGAAGTTTGAGAGGGGAGGAGGTTACGACTCTGAACTGACGCCGGTGCGAAAGTGAACGTGATATTAGATGCTGTGCACAATACTGATACCTGTGTGTGTGTGGAGTACCGGTGCCGATCTCATACTGTGTCAGGGATATATTGGACCAGAGTACCGGTACCGGTACCGGACCTGCCAAAACATAAAAAACCTATCGTATGTGTGTGATACAACAGCTGCACCACACTTTGCTTGAAGAAACTAAATCTGCTTAGCCGGCACTAAAGGAAAAAAGAGGATCGCGACGTTAAGCACGTGCTCACTCGCCACGGGGGGTTACTCCACCGCACCATCTCGAATAAGAGAATTGTCTCAGGACGTCTACATCCCCCTTCCAAATTTAATCAAGTAAAGTCGTTGCTTTTCTTGGGAGGTATTTCCCGACGGCCCCCCCCACAAAATACAGTAGGAAACCCAGAAGCTCCCGAGACAGACAACAACCTTCTCTCGGAATTCAAGATAGGGCGGCACGATTACCATACACACCACAGGAACCTCCCTATATCTATTTATCTATCTACCTATCCGCTCTTGAAGGATCCGGTCGTGGAATCCATCCATCCACACATCACCCCCAAGTATATTCTCCCCATTTCACGGCTGCGGGAGCGGAAGTGTGTATAGTACGGTAAGACCCTCTAGTTTTACGATTACCATACTTTTTGTCAGGGGTTGGGTTTTCCCCTGGAGTGGAGGAGAGAAAAGAAAAAAAAAGATTTACGATTGTGGGAGGATTTCGGGTTGGTTTGGGTGGAGGGTACTGTACCCATACACCCGTGGACCTGTCCGTGATGGAAAAGTGATGTTATGTTTTGGCTTGTTGTTTGAGGGGTGAGTACCGTACCGTACAGTACAGTGCAGGTATGAGGGTATCGTATCCATAGTCTATAGTCTATACCGCGATAATATTACACTGCAATATCTTTTCCGTTTCCGGATTAGTGAAAGGTTACAAAACACTCGCAGATAATCGTAACCGAGGATTTCAATTCCTTTTCCCCCATTCTTTACATTATTACGGCATTGCCGAAAATGCTCCCCCCCACTTGGATCTTAGAAACTCACTCTGACCGTCGTGCTAAGTTGTCATAATATCATTATATCATAATTATCATACTTTGCCCGGGAGAAGAAAAGAGAGCGAGTGACCGTTTATGATTTTCTTTTACTATTCTTTTAACTATTCTTTTTTCCCCTTCCTTCTCTTCCCATTTCCTCGCATTTCTGACGTTGATATTATACCACGCTTCCGGTCGGTGTATCATGGATAAATTATCCGTGGTGCCGAAGATGGCGGACAGTCCGAAAATCCACACGTATCCAATCCGGACTGTTGGATCTCCGCCCGTGCCCTCTCTGCGGGAATGCGGTATTTATTATGTATATAGCACGGATAAGGACTTGTAGTCGTCGACGAGACACTTATTTTATATATATATATATATTTTTCCTCTCCTCCTACCGTCGCTAGCTAGCCGGCTAGCAACATTTCGATACGACACTATGATATCACACCTATGATACCATACCGGTACGGTAGTGACGGGGGTTAATCACTGTACTGTACGAGTAGTGGCGAGATGGATAAGGAGTTATGAGGCCACAAAAGAAGGTCGTCCGTCACGGCTCAAACTGACAGGACCGGATCAGAGCATACTTGCTGTGTAGTACCGCACCGTACGTGTATGCGCTCCATCCACGGAACGATACGGTATGTGCTGGTACGATATGATATAAAAAATTAAAAACTCTCTTCAGAATTCTAGTCGGTGATTTCTTCAGAATACCAGTGTTGAAAGTGTCGACACAATTCAACATCACAACACCACGCTTCAATCTCCGTAAAAAAAAAAAGGTATACTTTATGCCATCGGGAGGTAGAGTAGTAGTATCTAGCACAACAAACAATATTCATGAGCAATGGACAATCCATAGCGTTGAGGGGTGTGATAATCTTCATATATCGGCACACACACATACATAATTATGTATCATTCCTTTGTTTGTTTGTTTCTTCCTTAGGGTATATTTCCCCCCACCGCCACTAGTATCCACTCCAGTGCCCACAGGGATAAGATATCATACCACCCGAGCAAGGTTAACACCTCAGATATATCCTATCCCACACAGACAGCGACCGTGATCTCCACCGCACCGTGTATGATACCTCATGCTTCTGTAGAGAGTAGCAATGAGTACGATATACCAAGGACAAGCCATAAGATAGCCCTGTTAGTACGAGTACAAAGCCCTCATGTTCCCCCAAACCCGATACGCTGGCTTTAGCTTCCGATAGGCACGTAACCCCTTTTCGATCGTGACGCCATTGGCCACCGCAGCGGTGGGAATGGCCCTTGGAAGGGTGGCAGCCACCCAGGAACATGCATGGGCATTTTTGATTGGCCGCGCTACATCTGCCGCGCTACATCTGCCGCGCTCGTGTGTGTAAGAACCGTTAGCCCTGATACCGGTATAATATAGACGCTTTACTCGCAGGAGAAAAAGAAAAAAAATCCATCAGAACATGCACCAGCACAGACCGAGTGAGTGAATGAGTGAATATCCAGAAGATAACCACAAGGCACAAAACTCCCCACCGATATGATAATAATTATGGTGTCATACCTTCCTTAAGGCCTCCAAATCCCCGGCTCGCTGCATGGGGGTGTGCGGATATTACCACTGTATCGTACCTAACCTCCCCCCACCGGAATACCGCCCAGCATCCCGCCCAGGGCGATATATCAAGGCGCGACCGCGAACCAGCAAGACAAATGCATCCCGATAATTCCCACATTCCTGTCTCGGGGGGGGGGGCACACTAAGTGCAGCGGTAACGCCCACCCAGCAGTACCCAACCCCAGGCCGACCTCCTACCTGAACACAGGAATCAGCCAGCCCCGAGCAAGGGGCCTTAGGGTTGATACGACAAGCGAAGGTAGGTCTGCTCGATAGGTACCTCTCCTCCGGGTTAATCTAGACCTCTCAGCGCGGCTTCCGGTGCCAGCCCACAGCTGGCGAAGACCCCTGGAACGGGTGCTCCTGTGGGCCGACGGCGATTCACTAGTAAGGTGGGCCCAAGGCAATTTTCCGTGGCGATATATATATATATCTGTGGTTGTCAAGCCCAGTCGGGCTTTAAGGATCATTGGCTAGAATATCGCGCAAAATTTAAAGCAAGGCCTCGGACGGAAGCTCCCGGAACGTGGGGCACCTTGGGCCGTTTTTGGCTATAGTATTTGTAGGGGCGGTCTAGATTGTTGGTTGGGTTCGTTGTAGATGAGAGGGACTGCTCAGCGGATAATTTCCCCCGCTATTCAATCCACACGCCCTCCTTTAGGGCTATCCCGCATAACAGCATGATTACATTACACTCCATAGAGGACAAACACCAGCACCACAAGCGCCCCATCTTCCCGGCTAAAGTCATGCCCAGGCTTTTTTTTCTTTTTTTTCATTCTAGTCATGATAAATCACTCGAATTCACAATTGCTACAGCCTGCCAGAGGTCACTATGTGAGAGACAAGGCACAACGACCTGATTGCAAACTATAAAACAGCAAAGACACGATATAAAAACATTAGAAAACTATCTGGGGTATGAGTGCATCCACCTGCTATCCCACCACCAGCGAGAAAAAAAACCTGAGTAAATCCCAGGCACAGATTCCGAAAACCCTTCGGAAAAATAAAAAAACGGAGCACCAAGCAAACCTCCACCCATCCACAAAACAAAGCAAGCCCCGGAAGGCATTTCTCTTTCTTTCCTTCGAATTCCACATTCAAACGCCCAAACGCTGCTTCTCCACGCACAAGATCCAGGCAACAGTCAACCCACAGGCAATGTAAACCACCCCACCGACCATGCAAAGGCAGGCCCAATACCGCCCTTCGCAGTACTTCTCTTCTCTAGAAGGGATGTTTGCTTCGGCCCCAGTCCGTCCACCAGCAGGGGTGGCGAGGGTGGGGGGAGGAGAAGAGTGGCTGCGATCTAGGATGAAGACTTTAAAAATGGCGATCATCCAAGCTACCGGAATCAAGAATCCAATTATGAAGAGCTGATTGTTGTTATTATTTCCATCATTAGCTCAATGTTTCCAAAAGTTTGGCGTCAGGAAGGGGGAAGGTACATTGCGGATAATGAGCGAGCCAGGTTTGGTAGCAGCTTCCCCTCCCCTTTCGAGATCGGCGGATGCGGGAGCGGTAGCAGCAGGAGGATATGTGTTTCCCCTCTTCTCTTCTTCCCAGTCCACCGAGATGGTTGAGGGGAGGGAGCAAATCGAAGCGGTGTCCGGGGTAATGATAAAAGTGCGGGTAGTGGTAGGGGTAGTAGTAGAGTGAGACATTTTTTTGATGCCTTACCGAGTTTGTTCTCCGAATGGTGGTCCGGTAAGCAGTTGGGGGGAGGGTGCTATTGAGAGGATGTGGATGGAGGAAGGAGTTCTCGAGGACCGTTACAGAGATGAATGGGACTGAAGGTAGCGGGGAGGTTAAGGGTGGTGCGGATGACAATGGGAAGCGAGATGTTGTCAATTGGATTCCACCCGAGTTCAATGGGGGGAAGGGTTGGTGAGGGAGTTGCTATTGAGGTCTGTTTGGCGGGGTTTTCGTCGCCGGCAACGGGCTTCAAGTATGATACCGGTAGGTAGGTTAGGGATTAGGTTTGTGTGGATTTTGGATTGATTGTTTGCATGATATGATATGATATGATATCATGAGACAGGAGAGGTTTGCTACGCCCTGATACTCTGTGCGCACACTCGCCGTATAAGACATCACCACATTCGCTTGAAGTCTCGATCACCTCGCAGCAAGCCCTCAGCACCGTGGTATTGCACCCCATGCTAACACTGCGACCCAAACACCACCCACGGGGGAGGAGAGAGGAACATACTCAATGAACCTATCATACCAACAGCCATTTCCCTCTCCGCACCTCACCGCATGATATAGGCCATACCATACCATACAACCCGCCCCCTCCTCCGCCCCCTCCTCCGCCCCCGCTCCACCCGGGCACCTAAAGCTCCACCAGCCCACCTGTCAAACCTTTCCCCCACCCTCGGAGGGGTCAAACCTGCCGTGCCATACCTCGCAGCGCCACCCGAAACACAACCGAACATTAAAGTTGTCTTGGCAGGAACAACCGTTTCCCCTCGTGCCTGACCGGGTGGCTGAGGCGCTTACGCACTGTACGCGTCACCCAACCCGACTTACACCTCCCTCCACAGCCAAGCCCCTGCTTGGTCCTGCGTAAGAGCTGACAATATCGCACAGGCACCGTATCACAGATATTAATTAACGCAGCCCTCCCACCCCTCTGGTGAGTTCCTTTCTTTCTTTCTTTTTTTGCTGTGAGCAGTCACGAGTGCTCACTCGATATTGGACTTTCGTTCGACGTGCTGGCATCATGGATAAGGAACGAGCAGAGTACTAGTTGGACCACCACATGAGATGCGGAGCGATGGGAGGTCATTATAGGAACTCGTTTCCACCCGAAGTCGTCCCCTGGTAAATTGCACTTCATTTCTTTCCCTCCTTATTCCCTCCCTCCCCCGTTTTGTTTCGCCAACTGAGGCCGATCGCCTAGAAACGGCACACTGTTTGTTACATACCGCACGCACGCTTTGACCTTTCACGAAATTACTCTCACTGTACCCAGTACTCGAGCACTTGTACTCGTACTGGCGTCACACTTATAGCTGGGACGCAAAGCGTGCGGGGGGTTATTGTAACAAGGGCTTGTGCGGGACTGGATGGCTTTACCTGGGCGGACTTTCTGTGATTTGATGCAGTGCTCTTCCCCATCGCATCCTGGAGGAGGGTGATCGTTTGTGACCGAACGTGCCGGTAATTGCTTCAGGGGGGGATCACCGCTACGATACTCGTACAGTACAGTGCAAGAGGCCCTTCCTGAATTCGGCACTCTATCGGTATGCACGACAAGAAAAGTACTGGTATCGGTAAGGCATGGCAAGGGAAGGGATTTGTCTCGATGTCTTCAGCATGGAACCCTTACCATGGGTTGGTGCTCCCACAGCACTTTGGGCACCGTTCAATGACAGTTTGGGCATGACACGATGCGTATCCGACGTATCGATAGGGCATGCAGAGCATTCAATCCTGCAGAGGAGATCAGTGAAGGCTGTGGGGAGGAGTCTGACAGCCATACCGCCGTCCGTTCATTGGTCATGGCAGGTGCCAGGGTGTTCAAACCAGAGAAGGGGAAAGGCAATGGAAATGATAACAAATTATTTAATTTCAGCAGATAATTCGAATACCGGTACAGTAGATTAAATAGTACCTTCTTTCTTTTCTTTTCTTTTTTCTTTCTTTCTTTCTCTCTCTCTCTCTCTCTCTCTCCTCTTCTTATTTTTT